TATCAGCCGTAATGCCCCAATTTCAATTTTAAAATCCAAAAAAGTTGTTGCCTGCACGGAGAAAATTATTATTATTATTATTAAGATTATTTATTATTATTTCAACAAGCTGTTGGTGAGTTTCAATAAACTAGTTGATGAAATTTAAGAATTAGTTGTTGAAATTCGCCAAATAATTTTCTCCGTGTGAATTTTCTCAATTTTCAACATTTTTCAGTGCCATATGGACCTGGAAATCGAGAATTACTTGACTACTGCCGAAATTAAATGATTCATCAATGAAGAAATATACAGAAATTTCATGTAACTTTATAGTTGTTAAAAGTTTCAAGCTTTTTCACTTGAAATGTCAAGAGTAATTTTCTAACACTGTAGAGCATTTGCGGGAAATAGTATTACAGTTTAATATTTGTCCAACAAAGAGGATGAAAATGGCTCCAAGTTTCGAGGGATTCCTCTGGCACTTTGATCAATCTTCAGAGTCAATTTGTTATCTGTATCCCTCCCACTTCCTGGTGACACTCCCCCCAGCCATGCGATAAAGAATACGGCAATCTTCGTAAGTTCCTCGAGAGCGCCTGTGCGTTCGAGTCGATTAACCCGATCGTTGGATCGTAAAATACTTTACCGAAACGATAGACGAGGCTATCCTTCACCCCATTGGAACGCTCTTCGAATATCGATTGAAGAAACTTCAGGTGAGGCAAGGGCTGTTAGAAAAACATTGACATTTTATGAACAGTTGAATAGTAATTTTCTGGTTGAATTGGATTTACGGAAGGAGAAAAAAATAAATTTGAAATTGTATTAAAAATTCAATCGAATTCAAGAACCACCGGCGACGGGGACAGCGGGACCTGTGAGGCGCGGGTTCGAGTCCGGCTTGGGGCAACTGTGATTTTTAATCGTTCGGAAACCGTCGAACGGAAGTCTAGACACCGAGAATCATCGGAGAAGTGTTAGGAAAACATTCCCCGATGAAGCTCGGTTGATGGACGCCCGTGTCGACCAAGGTTTTCCATGGTTTCCCTTGGTTGGAGAGGAAGTTGGCCCATGAAACCGCAAAACATGTAAAAACCCGAATACGGTATATATGGCAATAAATAGAAATAGAATTATTCAAGAACCCGTTACTTCATCTAAACAAAATTACTCTTAAAATTTTAAGTAACAAAACTTGAAATTTTTAACGATATTCAATTTACATGAATTTATCTCAATTTTGTTAGTGAAAAATCAGGTAACTTCTTCGAATATTCAATCAAATTCTCATTTCCCGGTCCATACGACAACGAAAATTATTCAAAATAATAAAAAAATAAAATAATAACAAAATAATTGATAATGATAATAATAATAATAAAATAATTGCTTAAATTGAAAATTGACGGATAGCTCAGATGAATAGTTGAAGAATAGCGGAGCTGAAGCACCTCGCGGAGGAAGTGAAAAGTTGTTTGTATTCTGGTAAAGTCCGTGGTTGATAAAAGATCTGCCCGAAATCCAAGCGAAGTCTCTCTGACATAAATATATTTGAATCGCAGCGAGTCTTATTACAATATCATTAAAATATAATTAATATTATTGTTTGAGCGGTGTAACTTCCAACAACTCCAATAAACCTGCAATTTCCTCCTAGATGTATTCGTAACAAGTTGCATCTCGTAAAAAACTGCAGATAAAACCGGAAATTGTACATCACACGCGGGAAAACAGTTTCAACATCGCACCCACGAACTTCTGCAGTTCTACATATCCGCGATATCTCGGCGTGTGGTATAAGAAAGGTCAGTCTGGAAAAATTGGAAAAATGTTGAAGCAGGCTGGTGCAGGAGAGGGTAGCCTCGAGATGGCGTCAAGTGGGAAGCTACGCCATGCATAGGCAATGAGGATAGAGATAGGAGGAAAGTGTTATCGTATTTCCCCGAGCAATGAAAAAGCCCGAGGAGAGAAGAATAGAAGGGTGTAAAAAAAGCCATCGTAAAATCTCTGTTATTCCGTGAAAAAAAAACTTCGCCCACTCGCTTTGCCTAATAACATTAGTCCCATCGAATGTTTCTCTGAGCATTGAGGTTATGCTAAAGACCGTTATAGTCTTCGCGTTATAATTTTTATTGTCAACGCCATCTGTCTGTGAGTGGATAGTTGAGGGAAAATTGACGGCTATAGTTTGTAGTGGAGTGACCGCATGACATTTGAGTGTGAGCTCTGTCTCGTTCTCGTGGAAACGAGGACTGAAAAATTAATCAGGGAGATGGAAGACGACTCGCGCATTATCACTTTGTACATTCGACGGAGAATGGGATAATGAGGAGGTGGGAGAGAGTGGAGGAATATTGAAAAGAGTGAACGGGTGAAGAGTTGGAGGTAAAAGGAAGCCCCGCAAATTAGTAAATTCGATTCATCATTGTTTGCAGCTTCGTGAACATCTCTTTCCCGCTTTTACTTGGCTTTTCACGTATTTTAATACATCAAGGACTCTTCAGTGCAAAACTTCCGGCATTGGATATCCGGGTTTTGCAAAGTGCGGAGCACAAAAATCCCGGGAGTGCAGTCTTTTTTTTATCTCGCTGACTACTTCACAGTCATGTGCTCGACTGGGTTACTTGTGTATTGAAACCTAGGGGGTTTTTATCGGGGAAACAACCGAGAGTGGCTCGGATGTTTCTTGATAGCTATCGGGAACACTCGGAGGAATTCCACGGCGTGGCACTGTGGCACAGACCATTGGGGAAATATTTTCTTTCTCACGCGCAGTTTTCTGCGAGAGTAAATAAAATCGGAGAGAGCGGTCTACTGGTGATTCTCTATCGACAATCAGCTGCGATACGGGGGGAATCTCGGGGGCGGTGAAGCTGTTGATTTTTTGAGTGAAAAGCGGTTTATGTTGAGAGCACGGAGAGAAATGTTCAGGAAAAATTACGGAGCTCACTGTTCGCTCACCGATTACGGAATCGACTCAGAAAATTTAAGAGACGGTATCGTATTTTTTCACAGCAGATTCAGATAAAAATTACGAAACGCTCTGGAAAAATTTCGTGATTTTAGGTAAAAATTACGTGACAGTTCCGTAAGATTTTCTACAATTACATTTGGCTTCGGAATTACGGAAAGATACGTAATTTTTATTGAATATTTCTCTCCGAGAAAGGGAAATATTGTTAGATTGTGAATAACTGGAGGTGCGGGAAGCGCTTTTTCAATGATTAAATCAAGGATTTGGGAGGGAAATACGAGGGAGATTTTAGTGCATTGGGAATTAGAAATTGGTTACTCAATTTTAGGAAAAATAGCTTTGAAATTCAGTATCAAAAAGTTGGGACTGTCTTAAAATGAAATAAGAGAAGATTCCTCAATTGTGAAATTACTGAGAACCAGAGCTTTTGTCTCTGATCTCTGGAGAACATTCTATTAGAATAAATGAAAGTTTCACTTTTTTTTATCGTTATTTTACATCGCTTCGACCCGGTTAGGGTATACTGCGATGATGATCAAGACTTTAAATGATTAGATCGCACCATTCTACCCGGCCAGGATTTGAACTCGGAACCTTTCGCATGTGAGGCAACAAACTTACCCACTGCGCCAAGCTAGCGGGCAAAAAAGTTTCCCTTGAATCTAGGATTTTTTGCTCTTCCAATTTCAATACCACCGGAGAGTTCTGAAATTCAGATATTTTTATTGACAATTCAAATTTGCTTTTGATATTGATGGCCCTTGAATTTTTATTGCGCCGTTAAAAATTGTTGGCTGCAATTTCCGTTTTTTTATAGCAATCTGGAACCCTAAATTTACGTTTGACAATAAAAAATTTATTTATTGAATAAAAAAAACGAATTTAAGGATATCCAAGTGCTTTGGCTATTTTTTCTACTTTTGCAGTCAAAAATCAGAGCTTTCATTCGAGCCCCATTTGGCCCTACGCTTCCGGACATTTTACGATGATTCCATTAATTAAACTTTGCAGGTCTGAATTTGAATGTCGATATTGAACCGTCAAAAAACATTTTAAAAACTCCAAAAGAAAATTAGAAAGTTTACATTTGGAAAAAAATGGTCGAAATAATTGAAAAATGGCATTTTGAAAAAATGCAAATTGAAAAATGTCTTGTCCCCAAAGAAATAAAATTATCAGTGAGCTAATTTCCCTCAGATTGGTCCACTCAAACTCCGCAAAACCTCACATACCCAATTTCCATCGGTTGACACTCAAGTGTGAATAATCCACGAAATTAAAATTCTCTCATAACAAAATGGGCACCTCAATGTGCTTCTAACAGCAAAAAATGTATTCATTGAGTCGAGAGACCCAATTTAAAGGGGAAAAATCTCGTTTGTACCCAAGAAGATAAAATTATCAGTGAGATAATTCCCCCAGATTACGATGTACCCAGGAATTTAGAGATTCCATTACACATGCAATTCCGCTATTTCACTTGAGCTCCCCCGGATTATATATCGCCCGAAGCTCCCCACGTACGTGATAAGCAAAACAAAATCACCCAATGTTTGTCATTAAACCCTCCACCACCGGACGAACGTAATTTTCTCCTCCTCTTTTTCCCATTAGCCATCCTCATTTCCTGTATCTCATCAGGTCCATGGGAAGAAGAACTTTCCATTAAAAAAGTGTCAAGCCTGAGGGCGGATACACAGGGGTTGAGGGGGTATCGATAGGGTATTGAGAGCCCACTATCTTTTTATTTCGTATTGAATGTCGGTAAACCCCCGGAGGCTAAACAGTGCTATATTCTCCGGTGTGGTTTTCAACCCAACGAACGGAGGGTGGAGTTTGAATGGGAGTTTAGGGCATCTGAGAATTTCTACCACTGAGTTTGGCGGTTCGGTATATACAACTCGGTAAATAGCTCAAGTAAATGTATGCTTGAGAGCATCAATTTTCTCGGCACACGCCCACACACTGCATTCGTGCTTTTAAGGAGTTTTTTTCAAGGGGAATTAGACAGAAGAAGTAGATTAAATGCTTTTGGTTACTCTACCTGTACTCACCGATATCCGGTATGTTCCTGTCATGATTTCCTCCACCACGGAACTAAAAAAAGAAATTAATGTGTTGATTGATTAATTATTGAGGATTTGAGAATCCAGTATTGTATACTACATTAAAGTTTCAAGAATATTCCCCAAAATTCTAGCGAATGAATTATTCATTTCATTCAATGCCACGAGAATAATGTGAACTTTTGACAAATTATTGAGAGTCATTGGAGCTCGGGAATAATTTCTAACAGATTCCAGCATTTTTGTGGGGCATATCACCCCATGAGATCATGTCCCCAGCGTCTGACAGCTCATTCGTAACTCAATAAAAACCGAACCCCCAAAAACATCTGAGGTTTTGAAAAGACACTTGCGAGGAATCTCAGTGAGTTTTCGGAAGTCAGCCCCTCGACTCCGTTTCCACTCGAAAGAAGGAGTGAGGCCATGCCATCGGTGTCAAGCAAAACTTCGAACTCCCCCAGCCTTGAGGAAAAATGAAAAATCCAGCGCCGCGGGGCACCTGGCCGTAGCACGAGGGGTGAGTCAATTTTTTTTCCTGCACGATGACCTAATAAACTTCCTTTTTACCCCCTCGAGCAGCGGCGGAATTATTCCCAAAAGTTTTTGGAGGTAAAAACCAATGAAAATAGTTTGAAAAGAGGTTCAATTATCTGCCCGTTAGACTCCACTTTATGGATATCAGGGGGATGTTGTGTAAGTCGTATATAAATTGTACTCTGATGCCTGGAGGTATATAAATTCTAGCCAAACAAGCCCAGAGACAAATTGAACACGGGATGAGTCTCCGCTGCATAAATCATCCGCCTGTTTTCTCGTTTGAAATAGAAAAAAAGCACAGGGGAAATAGAAAATGCATGGAGAGAAATTTTTTAGAAAAATTCTAGTGCTAGCACGGGAAAAGAGGCGCGAAGTGACGGCCAGGAAAAAATTCCAGTGTCGGCACTAGAAATTTTATTGGGGAAATCGTGAATTTTTTCGCGTATTTATGTGAAATTTTCACAGAAATCCCCAGAAATACCAATAAATTTTACCTTAACAGCACCAGAATTTTTCACCGCCTGTAGATTGTAATTTTTTCCAGTACTCCTACTAGAAAATTTCTCTCCATGTGAGGATATGTTCTATACAACGTTGGAAACAAATTAATTTTGAAATTTCCAAATAACGAATAATTGACAATAAATTTCTCTTTGACTTTATTTCAAGAATGGACTTATTTATTTGTTTTTCAAATCCGTAAGAAAATCAAGATTCTGAAAATTTATGCAATAAGTTTAAAATTTTAAGATCTCATTGATCGCATAACAGTTTGATCTCAAATTTGTTTAAAATTCACGATCCTGAGTATTCAAAGGTATTTCATGCGCACAAATGGAAAATTGCGATCCAGTGTTGATCATTCATGGCTGGAATTCGCGGTATAATTATTGGGAAATTCTTTCACATCATAGTTCCAATGAAATTTCAATGAGTGTCGTTCTTAAAAATTTGAAAACGCGATTTTTGGGAATGCCCAGCTGAGAATTGATGATGTCACCTTGTATATGAGTGAATAATTATGTGCTCGTGGCGTTTGAATATATCCGATCGATCCCGATGTGAAGTAAAATTCAATGCACAACATTGAATACTACAAAATGTGAGATTTTTATTTACAAATCCCATCGTATTTATATTGATTTTTCCAAAAATTAATCGCCGAAAATGTAAATTATCGCATGCATACGTAGAGACATGACGTTTCATCCTATTTTAGACAATTTTGTAATCAAAATTAGAAGATCCATTCGGAAGCAAAAACCCACAAACCAACCGACATTTATTCACAATGTGTACCCAAAACCTCATGTGTAGTCCAAACAAATTGATGAATGAATAAAATTGCATTTAAATTTTAAAATTCACAAAATTATTTGCATTGCATTTGCATTTTCAATTTAACATTCACCAAATTAAAAAAGCGAATGCAACTATTCCACAAATAAAAATAAAAAATTTCGATAATAAAAACTGCCTCGTTATGTTCACTTCCATTTCTATCATTACTCGGATATTTGTTTTTATTTTGGTCCATATTTTTTGTATGGGAATATTTTCCAGGGAAATTGGTCTCTTCATTTCATCGAAGTAAAAGTGAGCTAGAAATGGACACGTCGGGGCTGTACTCCGCACACCGGACTGCACCGGGCGAGCTTCCAACTCGTTTTTCATATGAATAGGACTGAAAAAAGAGATGGGAAAGGTAAATGGATCCTCTCCAGTTTCGCATCCCAACACCTGGAATCGTAAATTGGTATCGTAACGCGGATGACTATTAAATTGCCGGGTATTAGGAAATTCATCATCATTTGAGAATGTGCTGATTCATCCGACAAATCGGTGTTTACCCCAATATTGAATAAATTGAGCGGCGAGTGGAATGATAAAATTGGGGGGATTTGTAGGTTCGGGGTGTGTGGAAATCACTCGCAGGCGAGTGGAAATGTCAATTCAATTGGACGTAATCTAGCAGTTTTATAATATATTCATGAGGAGAATTTTTTTGCAATGATTGAATAAAAATATCAGGGTGATTCCCCCGAAAATCATATTGGGTGATTTTATGGTTTCTCAGGTTTAATGACTCTCGGAATTTTATCATGACGTTTTTTTCGATTAGAATTTTTTTTAGATTTCTAGAAGAAGAAAAGACTTTTCGTCGAATGACAATCATTACAGACTTTATTATTTCATTTCAAAATTTTCCATCCTCTATTTTTTTAAATTCCATTTATAAGCCTATTATACCACTATTGAAATAATAAAGATAACGAGAAGCTACTAAATTTGAAAGAAAATATCAGAAGATAATTTTAAATTTACTATTTTTAATTTAAATAAAGTGTTTGTTTTAAATTCAGTAAAGAGTGTTTTTTATTTTTTCCAGTTCTTCAAGCTCTTCATTTTGTAAAAATTTGGTAAAAATACCCTTTGCCAAGACACTTTCCTGTCTTTCCCCTCTCCCCCTCCCCAGCTGATTCAATTTGAAACATCAGCCAACTTTAAATTCAAATTTTTAATTTACTATTAAAATTTCAAAAAAGTGTTTGTTTTAAATTCAGCAAAAAGTGTTTTTTATTAATTTCTTCCAGTTTTTTAAGCTCTTCATTTCGTAAAAATTTGGAATACCCTTTGCCAAGACACTTTCCTGTTTTTGCCCTCTCCCCCTCCCCACCTAATTCAATTTGAAACATCAGCCAACTTCATAAATGGGAGTGACAGCCCCAAATAACAAACGCCCCGTATATCCAACCTCTGTGAATCACCAGTCCATTAGAACTGTATTGAACAGACAGATCCAATAGATTACTATAGCCTTCTCCAGGAAGTTGGAACGATTACTTGAAAACATTGAACACATTAGAGCGCTGGAGAATGGGGGAAAATTGGTGCCGCCCGTTGTGCGTTTAATTGTAGCCTAATTATAACGCCCGTCGACTCTGCGACTCGCCGAGAGCCTGGATATAATAGCAAGGTCGTGCAAGCGGGGAAGAGCTTATAACGGGCGACTGGGACTACAATGGACCGATATTCCGTGTACTTGGGATATATGGAGACTGATTGAATGGAACATTTTGAAACCGATACAATAGAAAAGGAAATTCAGCATTTCCAAATGATGAAAAAAATAAACAATTTCCATTGGACATTCGATTGCCTCCGCCAAAACTCATGTTTTCAGGTGCGAAATCAATGACGAATTATAACATAAACATGGAATGAAGCGCAAAAAAAATTGTGTCGCTCGCTAAATTCACTTGGAGGATTTAAGAATGGAAGAATTCTAGAAATAAATTAGTTGCTCACTTTATTTTGAAACAGGAGAGAAAATAATGAAAACTTCGCCCTCTTCATTGTTGTTTTACGACTATCCCATCACGATCGAGAGTACTTAGGTGAGATTAATTTCCCTTGAACGTCAATAAAAACAAAACACGAAAAAATACTGAATCGAGTATTTTATTGTGTTTTTATGTTTCTTTTACTACGAGACCTTCCCGATTCCAGAATCTTTATACTCCGTAAATATCCTTTTTTATAATTTTGTTATCTATTCCGCGTGACTTACACTGTCAGAATTTTTTTAATTGTATGGTAAACATGATAAATCTCATGAGAGTGATGTTGAATCGGATTGAGAGAAAAAGTGGTTATGAAATTTGCAATTTTAAGTGGAATTCACGGAAATTCATGAGTTTTCAGGGGGAGTGAGATGGAAATTTCACAACTTGGTTGAATTTTCAATGGAACATGAATGTTCAGAAAGAAAATTACATGAATTTCCACTTTCTCCCTGAATTTTCCCGATTTTTCTGAATTTTCACAGAATAATTGAACAGAAAAATCAAGTATTTTATTTATTTCCAGATCATTTGGACAGAAAATCAATGGAATCATTGACTTTTCAATGACAAGATTTCAAAATTCAAATAAAGTAGTCGTCAAGAGATGAATTATAATCATTTCAATGCATGAATCAATTCTTATGAATTAAAATGAAGGGTCAATTGCATGAACCCTCAGTTAAGAAAACAATGTAAATTCAAAAGTTTGATGGATTATTTACCAGGAGAAGTATCTAAAATTTATCTCATGAAAAGAAGAAAAGAAATTAACTCCAAGAATATAAATAATGCTTTTCGTCATGAGTATTATTAATTAATTTCTTAATTTCATTATTATACTTTATGTCTATTTAATTTGATTGATTTGACGTATGAAATAAAAAATGAAGTGAAATAGAATGAAATGAAATGGGGGCCGTCAATTAAAGTAAATTTGGAAGATTGACGGATTATTTTCTCAGGAAATTCTCTTGCTGATGGCGACAAAAATATAATTTAACAATTTTTATTGAATTCAATTTAATAAAATTTAATAAAAGACATTAAATTCCTTTCTATCAAGTTGGCTAATTCCCCTCAAGTATATTCCTTCCACTCCTCCAAATATTCTCACGTGGAAC